CTTTCGCCCGTGAGCGCGCCCTTCGGGAGGAGGCCCGCCGCGTCGCTAGAGATGTCCGGGGGCGTCTCGTGGCTGACGCGCGGGCGCAGTCTGCCCTCCTGGAGGCCAGGCGCGCGTCGGGGGCGCGCCCCGCCAGAGAGACCGCGCTGGAGTCGGCCGCCAGCGCTGGGCCGGCGCAGGCGCAGTTTCCTTCGGCAAGCGCCGCGGTCCAGGTGGCCGTGCGGCCTCGTCGCCTCAAGCGCAGTCGAGAGCAGGTTCGGCGGGCCACTAAGGAGAAATCGCGGGGCGCAGAGCTTCTTGACCCCCCCGCGTTCGACAGGCCGAGGCAAGACCTTCAACGCCCCAGGCGAAGCGTTGGCGCCGTTGACGTAAAGACGCAAAGTCCGAGGGGCCCCCCCCTGCAGCCCAGGGCGCAGAGGCGCCCCCGGAAGGCCCAGCAGAGGCGCGGCCCGCGATCGCCTGGCCCGAGCAGCCAGACCAGGATCGGAGGAAGCCATCGCTCCATGACCCATTGCGCAGCCAGTTTCGAGTCCAGGCTAGCCCTGCGCCCCGATTCTGTCGAAGGCGACACCGCTCCCGCGCCCGAGTCCCCTGAGATCTGGCATTGCAGAAAGATTGCGGCGTTGCGGGAAATCGCAGACGGGGCCCCAGCCGGATCGATCTGCGAGGGCTCTGGGGCCCGAAGTTGAACGAAAACGCCCGTTGCAAAACAGACCCACCGCCAGGGCCTCAGGGCCTGGCCAGGATTCCAGGGCCTGAAAGGGGTGGCGCAAACGATTCTGGGGAAGTGCACGGCATTGCCGTGCATTTGCTGTAGGGTACGCACAAATCCAGTTATGCACTTGCGCCCCAGAAGATCTTGCACGCTGCGAACTGCTTGCAATCCCGCAAATCTATGGCACCGGATCTATTGCATCACCTCCTTCTGGGCCCCATTTGCGTCGACCAGATTCGCCCCGTCCGCCCAGCTCAGGCCCGTCGAGCAGCTGGGCAACTGGCCCCCTCCATCTGTCGAGCCAAACGCGTGGTTCGAGAGGAAGAGGGACTTCGCAGCGCCGCCAGCTGTCGGCACGGCAGGCTTTTGGACGACGTTCCGACCGCCGTCTGGCGAGGGGAACCCGGGCCGAGCGCGAGAGGCTTAGGCCTTGCCGCTGCTAGTGATGTCGCCAACGAACGTGTTCAGCGAGAGAGATCTCGCGCGCCCGAATCCAGGAATGTGACATCGGGGCCACCTCCATTTTTGACTCATGATGGAAAAGTGACTTCGGGGGCTGGCGAATGGGAAGTGCGGCGCGCCAGCCGGGAGAGCGCCCCCCTCCCCCGAGCGTTTCCTCGGTTCTTGGGAGTCTGAGTCTGAGATGGATTAGTACTTTGATTCCGATGGAGAAGGGGGAAGAGTACAGCCTGAGTTATGCAGTTGGCACGGCAGGGAGTCGATTTTTCGGGGCAGCGGGGGCAGCGAAAGTTCCATTGCGATTTCCGCGATCTCAGCAGAGAGGGGCGCCGAGTCGACGGGGGGCGGAGGTCTTGCCCAAGTCACTCCTAGCGCGCCAGGCGAGAGTTGTTCGTTTCGTTCTCATGTGAAAGACTCGTATGACATTGCAGATCCGGGTGATGTTCCGATTGATATGGCGCCCGAGGATGCCTTGGTCCGCGCGCTTTCCTGATCGCGTTCCGGGGCCCTGCCTGGCCACGCGGCCAGATTTCTAGCCATCTGCGCCAGGGTCACCGCTTGGCTCGAGGCGAACCAATCGAGTTCATAGCCCCTCGCGCGGCCTCTCCGTCGTTGCGGCGCCGAGCCCTCGCGGAATGGCTTGCATAAAAGGGTTTCAAGAAATCGCGATTGGAACCGCGCCTGCGGTTTCGGATGTCTTCTCGGGGGGTGGGGCCCAGGCAATTATCTTGGTGGGCGTTCGCGATTTGATCGTTTCGGCTCATTCGTCGGAGATGGCCAGTCTCGCGACCAGGGGAGTGGAAAACCGGGGAGTCCGACTCTGCGTCGAGACACCTGAAACAATCATGGACCCGAGCTCTCATGGACCAGGAGAGGTACGAGCTGGAATAGCTATCCCCCATGGGGATCGCTCAGGAAAGGCAAGCTTTGCCGGGCGACTTCGTTCCCGAGGAACTTGCCGCGCGGGGCGATGATCGACCATGTCCAGCGGCTAGGGGGGGAGAGAGAGAGAAAGAGAGAGAGAGAGAGAGAAAAACAAAAAAACAGAAGAGAACAAACAAAAACAGAGAAATGGAGAAAGAGAGACAAACACATATATATATATATATATATCGAGTGAGAAAGACTATGAGAAAGACTCGGGGCGGAGGCCGCGACTCGCCCGAACGTGAGAGCCCGAATTTCGCTTTTGGCCTGGCGGCCCACGCGTTCGAAAAAAGTTGCCGCGTCGACTGGAACCGCGGAGACCCTCGGTCTCGCGGCCGCGTCGGCCGAGGCGCAGTGGGTATCCTGCGTGCGGCGCGAACTCATGTTTAAGGATGTCCAGCGCCCAGGCTGGCATTTGTCTCGGGCTCCTTGTTCGGCTGTCTTCAGCTGGGGCTACGCGCTGCACGAAGGAATGAGCTTGTTTTCAAGGGCATATTTGGCACGCTCTGATGTGGACAGGAGAAACGCAATCGAGTTGGCCATTGACAGCGACAGCTCGGCGAACGCGTGTCAGGTGCGATGGGCCCCCCTGCGGCAGGATGGCTGCCGACCCTGTCACGAAGGCCGACCCCGCCACGGGCCATTTCGCCCAGCTTGGCCGGTTCGGTAATGGCGTTATGGTTCTAGTGACCAGGACGGTCATGTTTCGGAGAATGCGTCGAATCAAGATCTCAAGTGCCGATCCCGCGCCGCCCCCCGCCAGGCGCTCACAAGCGGTGATGTTTCTGTTTTGGGGAGGATGCCTGGATTGGCTGCGGGGCAGAGGAGACAGTCAAGAAATGCATTGTTTCGCAGCTCCACTACAAGTACTCCCGCTGTTGTCTCTTCCCTCTTCATAGACTTCCAGGCTTAGCGCCCGCTTAACGGCAGACACGAGAGTACTATTTTGTTCTCCCCAGCCTTGTGACAGAAAATTGCGTGTCCACTCGCTGTCCTCTGTTCGTCGTCATGCCCGGCGATGCCACCAGCACAATTCCGCCGAATTCTACAACCCAGGCCACGCACGCACGTTTCTGCGCACACACGTCGAGATCATGCCAGGATGGTTCCTTTTTTGCGGGCGCGCTTGCTCATCATCTTCATCAACGGATTTGTCATCGTCGTGAGCGTCGTTTTCGCCATCGTCATCGTCATCATCATTCCCATCATCGCCACGATCCTTGCCATCGCCACGATCATCACGGCCGCCGTCGCCGCCCACCGCGACAGACGGAAGTGGCCGCGCGCCAGCGCGATCTTTGAGACATGCTGGGCGGGTTCTATCGTTCAACGCCGACGCGGCCGCATCGCTACTACCAAACCGACTGGCCGATGTGCTCGTGAGTGTGCGTGCGCCAGTACGTCTGCAGAAGTGCGCCAGCAAGTTTCACTCGGAAACAGCCGCAGTTTGACGGTTAACGGATTTGGCCAGACAAATTGCGCACGGGACGGTGGGATGTTTGCGCCTGCGCTGAAGTTAACGAATTTGTTCCGGAAGCAATATCTGCACCACGCAGTTTGCACCAGATATCTTGCACCGCAAAGAGTGCACTACAAAGTATTCATCATTAAGCTTGCGGTACGTAGCTTTAGTTCGAGAAAAGGATAATTTCCACCACCCTCCCGAACCAACGCTTACCCCTTCCTTTGGGGTCGTTCAGTTTGCACTCGATTTTGCCCCATCGTTCATGTCCCAGACGACATCGCACCGTTCTGTCCAGACCAGTATCGTCCCCTCCCCATCTTCCTTTTGAAATGATGCAATTCGCGCGCGGTCGTTTATCTCAAACCATAATTCCCAAGAGACCCTCGCAAGCAAGTGCAACGACGTCCACACGCGCACATGCCGAATGCATACCAACACAAGTTGTGCGAGCAATTCACCTTACAGCACAGTAGCACAACCGCCTTCCCAATATCAATCATGGAAATGTTCTGCGCGCGTACACTTATTGAACACATAGGAAGCCCACATGGTGTTAGCAATCTCGATCAGAAGCCGCATCTTCTTCTCACCACGCGGGGCATCCGCGTTGATCTAGCATGCGCCCAAGTGCACGCGCTTGTGTCAAATTTTGGCACGCGGGCCTCATGCGCTCGCCGCTACGCGCGCGTGCAGATATTTCGCAAAACTCTGTGTTCTCGAAGCAGTCTGCAACATCCTGGGAAAACCATGTGCGGTTCAACACAGAATGTCCAGATTTCTTGACTTTCTGCGCGTGCATTTCCGCATCACTTTCAGCACCGCCGTTGTCGCCATTGTCGATTGCCGCTGTTGCTTGCCGCCATCATCACCTGCATGGGCGCCGTCACTGGCCTTGCCATTGTCATCGCCGTAGTCCCCGCATCGACATCACCACCTTGATCATTATCATCGTCGCCGCCGTTGCCGACGTCCTCGTGACACCGCGTTCGCCACACCGCCTCTTGGCTTCCCCCCGGTGAGCCCACATCTGCGATGGCCTTGTCGCTGGAGCGCCGTTCCAGGGGGGTGAGATGGAGTCCCCCAGGGACCCGGCCTCGTGCAAGGGCAGCCACAGCAGCAATCTGACTGCAGTGTCACAGGAGGGGCCTTGATGTGCAGCTAGCGGGAGGGCTAATTCAGCATCGGCGCCTGTACATCCGTGGCCGATGACTTGCCAAATCTGGCACAGTCTCGTTTGATTCGGCTTTATCACGCCTAATCGGGCTTCTTCTTGGGCTGAGTCAGGGCTAATCCTGCTTGATTGCCCCGTAGTAGGGGCGACTAGCCCCTAATCGTCCCCACAAAGACCTCCCAGTAGCTGCCCCTTAACACAGTTTTGCAGGAGTCCCAGGGCTTCCACGAACGCTTTCGTCCGCCGCAGAGAAGGGCGGACAGCGGGTCGTGGCTGGACGACTCGAAGCGCCTGGAGTTCTTCATAGACGACGTGGGGCGGCTCACTGGGATGGTCCTCGACGACACGGGGCGCGACGTCGCCGCCGGCATCACCATCTCAGATTTCTCGACGCGGGCGTCGGGCGAGGAGTGGTTCGACCCCACTGCCGCCGGCTGGAAGTGCAAGGATCATCAGCTCGAACAAGAAGAAGAAGACGACGGGAATAAGAAGAAAAAGAGGAACAATAATAATAGTAATAGTAATAGTAATAATAATAATAATAACAATAATAATAAGAAGAATAAGAAGAAGGAAGACAGGAGAACGTTCGGATGGCCCGCGCCAGCGGGAGGTGGATAGAGGAGCACAAAGCAGCATGAGCAGAAATGTTCGGAGGTCCGCGCGGGTGTCTTGGATCTGCCCTGAATCCCCATCCCTAGCGCGCGGAGCGCGCCAGGGGCGGCGCCAGAGGCGCCGCCAGAGGGGGCCCAGCGAGGATCCAAGAAATCCGCGCGGGCCCAGAGCCGATCCAATAAATCCACGACACCGCTGGGGTCGGTTCATGTGGCCAGTACCGCCCGGAGTCTATGCGTCACCGCCCTGGTGTGCCGCTTGATGTCGCTGCTGCAGCGTGCCAGTGATTGGGTTGGCGGTTGGGCGGGCGCGGCCAGGGCATCTGCGGTGCGTCTGTTGTTTTTCGTTCCTCGAAGGCGTTTTTTCTCCCCCAGTCCCCGAGGTGCGCCAGAAAATCTTGCCGCGCTGAAACAGGGGAAACCCTGGGATACGCCCCGAGGGGGCTATTCGGACGCACCCCTATCGAGGATAGACGCCCCGTCCTATATGCCCCAGGGCTGGGCCCCCAAGCCCTGATCCATCCGACAGCCTCCCAATGCCTGGGATCGGGGCCAACACTTTCCCCTGCTAGCGTACCCTGAGATCCAACGTTGCGGGAAAATGGCAACATCGTCAAACATCACGACCGCAGACCCAGACCCAATTTCGGGGGTGGACAGAACCCCCAACAGTGACACGTCGATTAGTGAATTGTCCTTTTTCGGTTCTCGAGAGGGCGCCGCGGCCGTTATTTTCCAGGCTCGCGCCCGCCAGGTTTGGGCCTCAGGTCGTTTTCACTAAACCACGTTTTACTAAAGGGAGGTCTGTCCATCCCCGACAATTGCAACATCGTCAAGAATCACGACCGCAGCCCCAGACCCCACTTGCCCGCGTCATGTTTCGAGCCGGGTCGATCTCTGCGAGGGTCCCAGTGCCCGACAGCGAGCGACATCGCCCGGCACGAGAAAGTGCAGCGCCTGGATCTCAGAGTCTGCCGTCGTTCATTCGGGCCGGGCGAAAGGGGGGGATTGGGAAAGGGGGGGTTACGAAATTTGCTGCGTGCAGCTGGTTTCGGCCTCACCGAGGGGCCCATTCCTCGATACATTGTCGCCTCCGGCGCCGGGAGGCGCCGGGAAAGTCAGCTACGCGAGCTGATTCTCAACCCCCCCCTTTGCTATCCCCCCCTTTCGCCCGACCCGATTCATGTCCTCCAGGATCTCAAGTATCTCCCGGGCGCGGACCACATTGGGGAGTGGGACCTCATCCGGGCGTTCTTTCCGCTGGACCTGCCCCTCGGGGAGGGCGAGGAGGGGCGGAGGCTCTTCGCGGTCTGACGGGCGCTCCGGCCTCTGCTCGCCGACTTATGTAAAGGGGTGCGTTCGTGCGTTCGTTACCCCATCCTCCTCGGAGGAAGAAAGGGTACCCATACCACTACCCTTGCCCCGTTTCCCCTTCTTGTTCGACCTCTCGGGAGGCCCTTGTCGCCATCGCTGGAGTCGCCTCGACATTCTTGTCGGAGCGCACCCTGGGAGAGGTCCAGGGGCTAGCGGGGTCGGTACCTTTTGGTTTCCCATCCTTGTCCTCGAGCCGCATTCTTCTCCTCCCCCTCTCTAGAGTCACGCAGTATGATCGGGCGACGAAATCTACACATGGTTCATTCCTAATTCTTCGAAGGTTCTTGGATTTTTAGGGGGCCAAGATCCTTTCAGTTCTAATTGTCCTATCCTGGGCCTCTTCCTGGCCACTACGGGGCCAGGAACAATTAGAAACGAGCACACTTCGAAATGAGCACGGTTAGAAATGAACGACGTGTACACACACATCCATTGCTCATTGGCCAGGCCTATCCTGAACCCAGGAGCAGTGTATACGCCCTCCCGGCAAAGCCAGGAGGGCTTGGCTTATACACCGCTGACTGGGTTCAGGATGGGCCTGGCCAGGGAGCTGTAGATATGTATAGATCTCGTCGCCCTATATGAGTGCTATTCTCCTCTCCCCCGATTCTATCTGGAAGGTGTTCCGCCCTGTCCGCATACCAGTTGCTTACACGCAGGATTGGACAAAGTGGTTGTTGTTAACATGCAGGTTGCAAACCGATGGCTGTCGGGGCTCCAAAATGGTGCACCGCTGCAGCGCGGGCCTCATTTTCGGATCGGCGCTCTGCGCCAGGCGTTCAGAATGGCGCTCTCGCCCCAGCGCATGCCACTTTTCTGGATCCGAGTCGTCCTTTTCCATCGTTGTCGCCCTTCTCATTTCCCCTCCTCCGCCTTCCCTTGGTCCTCCCGTTCCTTTCACTGCTCCTGTTGCTGCTGCGGTTCGTCCTCATCCCCTCCTTCCTCATCCTCTTCCTGTTCCTCCTGTTCATCCTGCTGCTCACCTGCCACATCCTCCCCATCCTATGTACGCATGTCCCCGTTTTCGACATCGCATAACATGTTTGTCAATTCCAGGTCGCCAAGGGCACGTGTCCGCGGATATACGAATGAGGGACAGGACATGAGGTATGACCCGAGCGCACCTAGCTTGTCTCCACCTCACCCTTCCCTCTTCTCCTCCTCCTCTTCCTCCTCCTCCTCCTCCTACCCGTCTTCCTCGCTTGGCTGGTGGTTGTGTACTGCGAGTGGCCTGTTCGTCTGGGGCCAATGTGACTACCCTGCTCGCGCTTGCCGAAGGCACGATGAGCGGGTCCCCGACACAGGGGCATGCTTACGGCGACCCTGCTTGGGGAAGAGGAGGAGGAGGAGGAGGAGGAGGAGGAGGAGAAGGAGGAGAGTCGGATGAGGGGGAGGAGGAGGAGGAGAAGGAGGAAAAAGGCGGAGGAGGAGGAGAAGGAGGAGAAGGGAGGCGTGGAGCGAGGGGGACTAATGCTAAGGGATGGGACGGGGGAGGAGGCGCAGCGGGCGGCAAGAGGAGGGTGGAGGAGGGGGAGAAGGAAGCAGCCGTGGGGAGGAGGCAAATCAACGGCGGGAGCGGCAGGCTGGAGGAGGGGGAGAAGGTGGTGCAGCAGCGCCGACAGCAGGGGGGAGCATGGCTACCTGCACGTCAGAGTGAACCCTTCGGGTAGCCTTTGGTTCACGGCTTTCGGGGGGCGCGTGGGGGCCAAACGCAGGGACGCAGGCCGCTCCTGTCGACTCTCGATCAGCGATGGCCAGGCCGCGCGCCAGGGGCCACTCTCGCCCGTGGTCGCTCTTGCGTGCAGCTGGGTCGGAGCTACCCTCGGGCGCTATCTGCACCCGACGCGGGTCCGATCGGGCGGTCTGCACGAGAGGATGTGAGGTTACTGGTGCCAGCCAGATCCGAGCGGCACGGCGAGGAGGAGGAGGAGGATGAGGAGGAGGAGGGCCTACGCACGCCGGAACCGTGTCGGCCGCGCGCGGTATGAGGCTGGGCAGGCTGCCTCTCTCAGTTGCCCCCACCCCCTTCCCTTCTCTTGAGTATCTCCTCCTCCTCTTCCTCTTCCTCCTCTTCCTCCTCTTCCTCCTCTTCCTCCTCCTCTTCCTCCTCCTCCTCCTCCCTCCCTCCTCTGTACGCGGGGCTCCTCCTCCTCCTCCTCCTCCTCCTACATCCCTGCTGCGGTTCCTCCTGTACTCGAGCCCCCCTCCATCAAACTCTCCTCCTCCCCCTCCTTGGCCTCCGCCTCTCCCTGCTCTTCCCTCTGGCGCGCACCAATTGCGACCAGCGGCAACATGCACGCCACTCCTCGAGCTCATGCTAGGATGCTCGGGTCGAGGCTTCGGGCACGCGGAGTAAAACAGGGCCCTCTCGTCTGTGCTGGTGGGACGTCCCATTCTTCCCTCACCGTGGGGGACGCTGAGGGGACAGGGGGGCTACAAGTGGATGTTACGTTGGGTTGTATATATATATATATATATGGTTACGGCGGATCCCCCCAAGGGCCGAAGCCCGCAAACAATTGCCAGGACGTTTTACTTCAGACCCAGGCGAGCTTACTTGCATGGCATTTCAAATCCCCCACGAGACTCTCGGCCACTTTTCTCAGCGGCGAGTGGGCTGGGGGGGAAGCGAGAATGAGGAGGTTTTCCCAGAACGCGGCGGGGCTTTCTCAGACGCCCTCCGGCCTTCCGAGAAGTCTCCGGTGTCTCCGGGGAAAGCTGGAAGAACACCTCTCTGAAGTCCGGGGGACTTCCAAGCCTTCTTAGAAGGCCCGCCCCTTTCAGGCGATCGCAAGCATGGATTCAGGGGGCGTGGATTAGCGACGGGTCCCGTTTCCATGGCTAATCGCGGATTTCCGCCGCCGAGCGAGACGGCACTGGCCGCATTTGGGGGAGGGCCTCTCCCCCCGATCCATGGATTTGGCGACCGCGCGCCAAATCCATGGATCGCTGATCTACGTTTGCGCGCCCCCGACCCTTCTCACATCCCCCCCGGGCTCGCCGCCGGCACTTGCATGGCATGTCGGCCCCCCCCCCCTCTCCGCCGCTTTTTGAACCAGCGCTGGGCCGAACAGGCGTGCAAGTGAATCCCGACCTACGGGAAGCCCAGATCTTGTCGCCACGCCCCCTCCCCCCGCCCCCCGCCCCCCTCCATGCAAGTAACCTGAACTCAGGAGGGAAAAACACACAGACACAAACATTGAAATTATGGGAAGTTGAGGGGAAGACGAACAGCCAGAAAGTATGGGGAAGTCTTGAGAATCCTGGGATCTGTGTCTATTTGTTTGTGTGACCCTGAGGCCCTTCACCAGCAGAGTCTAAAGAGAAGCGATTTCTATCGAGTCGGATCGATCAGATCGACATGGACCTTCGTGCCTGACTCGCGCCTCCGGCGGCCGTCCAGGACGAGCCGGGCACTCCCAGAACTCTTGCGGTGAGGCGCAAACTGCAGGAACGCATGCCGAGGCAGGAATACCTCCAGGAACAGAGCCAGACATCTCAGAAGCCGGGCGAAGGCTGGCAAACCCGTGGCTGCTGAATCAGAGCTCCAGGATATTATTTGTTTTCTTCCTGGAAGCAGCCCGTTTAGCCCGTTTACTATTTAGTGCGTTGAGCTTGATTCTGGGGCTCTGCTTTTTCCTTCCGGAAAGTCCGTTTCAGCAGCCACGGAGTTGCCAGCCCTCGCCCAGCTTCCAACAGGAACCGAGCCAGACAGCCCATGCTTCGAGTTTTTCAAGACGCGCCCCCGAAGTTTCGACCCGTTCCCGGGTGGCAGTCTTTCCATCTCACGGGTCGTTGTCCGACAGTCCCAGGGCCCAGCGAGGACCCCAAGAGGCCGACAACGGCCAAGCCCCTCCCGTCGTGACTCGTGATTGTGATCGTTGCATTATTTGTTGTTATGCCCTTCGGCCGGGGCCCTCGCCCCCCCCCCCTCCCCCCTCCCATGGAGTAGATCTTGGCTGCTTTGTGGCGCCTGCTTCGCGCAGGCGGAGCCCCTCCCCTCATAGGGCGCACGGTTCCAAACAGACGCACCGGGCCCAGGTCCGGAGCCAGACCCTCCCCCTCCTCCTCCTCCTCCTCCTCCTCCTCCTCCTCCTCCTCCTTCTTCTCCTCCTCCTCCTCCTCCTCCTCCTCCTCCTCCTCCTCCTCCTCCTCCTCCTCCTCATCCTCTCCCCCCGCCCCCTTCCGCCCCGAGGTCGAAACGCCGAAGGCGAAAACGCTCACTCGTTCGACGGTCCCAGGGCCCAGCGCGAGGACTCCAAGCGGCCGGCAGCGGCCAAGCCTGTCGGAGGGGAGGGAGCAGGGAGGAGGGCAGGAGGGAGGAGGGAGGAGGGAGGGAGGGAGGGAGGAGGGAGGAGGGAGGAGGGAGGAGGGAGGAGGAAGGAGGAGGGAGGGAGGGAGGGAGGGAGGGAGGGAGGGAGGAGGGAGGATTCGAACGCCGACCACGGCGTCGTGAGTCGTGATTGTGCCACGGTGCGAGCACATCTGGGTCCGAGCACCTCGGCCCGCGGGGGCTTCCGCTGGTCCACGGCGGGGGCCGACGCTCACACCTAAGTCGGGCACGTCCGTCTACAGGAGGAATATTTTCAAACAACTATAAAAAATGTTCTCGGGACGATTGTTTGCAGATGTTTGGTTCTTGCACTCGTTTTTTTTTTTTACAAAAAAGGGAAGAAATTCATCCACAATCCGCCTGTAGGGCGGCACGCCCGACCTAAGCTTACACCTATCATACATCTTGAATCTCAGCGTTAGTTCTCGTGGGATCCAGGTTTCGCTCAGGACTGGGCCCTTGGCGTTTTCTCGGGGCTTCACACTTTTTCGTTGAACTTTCGTGCCTCTGGACCTCGTCTACTGTCTCAGAAGTCGGTCCGATTGACATTTACTATCTGGGCTAAGATGTTCTTAACTCTAAGCGCTTGGACTCGCTCGGACGTGTG